CCTGGAGCCACTAACCTAGTCCAGTTTCAATGGGGGCACCATGGCATCAGTATGGCCCCACAGAAGGCCCCCCAAACTGCCACTGTCCACTGTGCAGCTACTTCCCTGTTCACTAAATGCTTTACACATATTGACCCTTTTGCTTAACCAGCACGTTAGGAGCCAAATGCTGGGGAAGGGGCTGGATCCAGCTGTGACCACTGTGGTCAGAGACCCTGACTCATGGACAGTGTGGTCTGGTGTGCTTGACAGCCCTGGGGAGCCACGTTGGTCATACATGCTCCTGCAGACATGGGCCAGGAGCCTCAGACAGGCATTAGCTCCCTAAAAGAATTTCCACTGACTCAAGCCCCCTTCACCTGCTGTGCCTCTCCCCAGTACACTTGAAGTAGTGAAGTACTCTTCACGCCCCCCTCCTCTCCTCCCCTCATCTCAATGGACTCTCTTTTCCCACTACTGCAAGAAACAGTGCTATTCAAGGTCACCAGTGATCTTCATCTTTCCAGAAAGAACCCCGGTTGCAGCCCCTACCCTCCTCTCAGCCCTTTTCCACCAAGGCTTCTCCGATGCACCCTACCCACCCCTCTTCGCCTGCCTCCTGGCCACCCCATTCCACTCCCTCAGCCCAGGGATAAAGAAGAGAACCTCAGGCCTCTGGCTGCGGCACCTTCCCTTCTCTTCCCTGTTCTCATTCATGACTTCAAATCCTTCTATAAATGATGGCTCCAAAATCTGCATCTCCAGGGCCGACTTCTCCCCTGAACTCCACACGGATACATTCCGGTGCCTGCTCCACCAGACAGACGTCTCCACTTGGCAAAACACACTCTGTGACTGCACTCCCACACGTCTTTCTGCCCCAGGGAAGTGGTAACACAGCCACCTGTTTGCTCAGTCCAAAAGCCAGTGTTTTTTTTTTTCCAATCAGGCCAAGTATAATAAAGCCCTTAAACACATTTCTTTAAAAAGAGAAGAAGAGAATGGGAGTTGTGAGCTTGTCACAGCTAAACGCAGTATCTCCTCATGGACCCCCAGTCCTGAGATCCCAGCCCCACCTGGGCCCCCGTGGTCCTCCCTTAGGGCTCTGTGGCCCCTCGCTGCATGCGGGGCTCCTGAACCCCACACACGAAGAGGGCCAGAAACCTCTGCCTCCCCGTGCACACGGCTCAGGCCTGGCCCGCCTGACCTTCATCGCAGACGCTGCCCTCTGCCTCTCCAAGGACCCTCCCACCAAGAGTACTCCCTCACTCCCCGTCAGCCATCTCCTGCGCTGGAGGGAATGCGTTTCCTCAGGGTCTGCGGTTCTTCCCATCGCTGGGGTCAGAGCACACCAGGTTTTTGGGGGTGGAAGGGGAGAGCTGAGTCACACTGGGCAGGGTGATGGGAGAAGGCCCAGCCGAAGAGGGCTGGAGCTCCTCCTTAGCACCATTGCCTCAGGTGTAAGAGGGGTTCCCAAAACAATTTGGGATTGAAAGAGGGTGAGCCAACACCAAGCCAGTGATGTGCCTCCCCCTGGGCTCAAGTCCACCCCCAGTGCCCTCAGGCTAAGAGTGGACAGGCACTGATGGCCCAGGTCCTGTCAGGAGGGAGTGAGCCGTCTCGTCAAACAGGGGGCTGTGACACATGTGTGTGGCAGGTAACCTTGGGCAGGTACTGTCGAGTGTGTGGGACAGCCATGTAAGAAGTGGGAGGGCGGGTGTGACATGGACAGGTATGCTGCACAGATGTGAGAAAGTGTGCGTTGGTCTGGGACAATGGGACTGACGGGTGGGGATGGGCGCAGACAGGTCTCTGTGACAGGCACACCAACACCCCTGTTGAGCACTCCCCTCCTGAACGACACATGTCTCAGGGCACAGTCCCCCCAGCCCAGGGAGCCCAGATGGTGTCCTTGGGAGCCTCCCAGAGCCCCATTGCTCTCCAGAGTAACCCTCCTTGCAGGACAGGAAAGGGTGGCTCTGTGACACCACCGCCCCCCTCCCGTGGCTTAGGGAGGGCAGCTCAGCAGTGTGCTCAGGACAAGAGAAGGAAGCTGGAAGGGCAGAAAGCACCCTCCTGTTCCAGCCAGGCCCCACCCACTGGCTTCTCCAGGTTCCCCAGGACTCCAGACACTTCCCGGGCTGCCTTTAGAAACCAGGGAACCGGTGAGTGTCTGCTGCCTCAGGCTGGTCCTGCTACCCCACAGACACACAGAGATCCTCCCATCTCTACCCCACACCTACGGCCCCTCCCATCTGTGAGTCCCCCACCCAGGCCTGTCTGAGCAGTCCCCCAGTCCCCAGAGCATATGTACACACCACACCTACTCAGGGTGCACACAGACCTGATGCCTGTAGGCCGTGTGGGAGCAGGTCTTACAGAAATGTGCTGGGTAGGCCCCCAACAACCTGGGCACTCCTCCAAAATCCCAGACCTGTCCTCACATTCCAGCCCACAGCCCTTCTGCAGCACCCCAAGGCTGAGCCTACTCCCACGCTGGTGGCTGCCGCAGGGGGCATCTGCTACCTAAAAGCAGAGCTGGAGACCAGCCTCAGGGATGTGGGCTGAGGTGGGAGGAGCTGGAGGTGAGCACAGCCCCACACATTCCATAGCCACCCACTCACCCCAAGTCATTCATTCCTTGGCCCACATTGCTCTCCTGAGTTCTGCTGCTGTGGATTCCCACACCCAGCCCTCCCAGGTCCTATAAACCACTGTCCCAACTGCCCAACCCCTCTGGCTCCCTCCTGAACAAGCCCTCGGGGCACTCAAATTTACCTGCAGTTCAGCAAGCTCTCATCTGTGCCTGTTGCCCAGAGGGGCAGGGAGCACTGGCCAGGAGGGCTCAGCACCCTCCCTTTCTACCTAAGGGCTGTGAGGGGACCCCAGGCCCAAGACCTACCCCAGCACCCTCCAAGAGCCTACCATTCCTGCCCACCACACACACATGTGTGCGCATACACAGCCGGGGGCCCAGCTCTCAAGGGTCTGTGCCTCCAGGCATGAGTACGGAAGGCAGGCCCTGGCACCAATGCACCCCTGTAAGCACACTGCCCGGGGTACACGCACACTGAGTGTGTGTGGGCATCATCTGTGTAAACTCCTGTTCTTGGACCTTTTATCCACCTCTTCATTAGGCAACTCAGGCTGCGCTGAACTTGCAAACCAATGGGGGGGGCAGTCCTAAGTCGAGACCCTAAAGGCCAGTGCAAGGTCTGGCTCAGGCTGTATCACCAACCGTATGCCAGGCACTATGGAGACGAGAGAGAACAACCCAGACCCCGGCCTGGAGAGCTCACCACCTAGTGAGGAGACACATGTCAGCAGAGTAAACGGTCTTGTTCTCTTGACACATGGAAGTACAGCAGTGCAGAGAGGATGGGTGAAATAGGTGAAGAGACTAAAGAGGGACAAAGTTCCAATTATAAAATTAATGAATCACAGGGACAAAGAGTACAGCATAGGGAATATAGTCGATCATATTGTAAAAACTTTGTATGGTGACAGATGGTAACTACACTTATCGTGGTCAGCATTTTGTAACGTACATAATAGTCAAATCACTATGTTGTACACCTGAAACCAATATAATATTGTATGTTAACTATACTTCAATTAAAAAGAAGTACAGAGTCACCAAAGGCACAGTTAGAGGTGTCCCAGGTGTTACCAACATCAGGGGCGCTATCCCAGGGCAGGTGGGTTTGGCACCTGGCATTGGAGCGTCCTGGGCAATCTACCCGCCTTGGAGTCTGACTCTTACACTGCTTCCTCAGTCTCAACAACCATCAGGTCATCATGACTCCTGAAAATGGGCCAGAAGATGCCACTTTTGGAAAAGCAGGGGTCCAAAATATTGGATGTTCAGTGAGGTGTAGTAACTAGGAGCCTGGCTTCTTCCTGTAGCTGGCATTTGAAGGATCTTACCAGGTGGTGGGCAGGGAGTGGGCTCAGGAGGAGGGACCTGCATGTGCAAAGATTCTGCGGCAAGAAGGATAGTAGTGGTCACTCAGGGCCCTGGAACCCAGAAAGGGCAGTGTGGCCAGAGATGAGGCCACTGTCTCGCAGGGTCATGCGTTCCCTTGACCCTGACTTTTGACAGAGTATGGCACATGAACTTGAAGGGGGTTACTCATGCAGTGATGACTCAGTTCAGCTGAGTAAGGGAAATATGCCAGCTGGGATGGAGCAGGTGGGGAGGACAAGGGTGGCCTCACAGCTGTCACACACACACACACACACACACACACACACACACACACACACACCCCTACCTATCCTCAGGACAACACAGCTGTCACACACACACACACACACCCCTACAGCTGTCACACACACACACACCCTTACAGCTGTCACACACACACACACTACAGCTGTCACACACACACACCCCTACAGCTGTGTGTGTCTCTCTCTCACACACACACACACACACACACCACACACACCCCTACCCCTACCTATCCTCAGGACAACACGTGTTTACATACTCGGTAAGCTCTCCATGAACTTGCTTCCTCAGCCACCAGGGGGCCTCCCAGCTCCAGGCTTCGGTCCAACTGCTCCCCTCTGGCTGCCACTTCCCCTCCTAGGAATCCCAATGGACACTTCCAGGCTACATTCTGGGTTCCTACCTCCTGGCTACCCCGGGTGAATGATCCCGCAGGCAGAAGACTTCATGCCTAATAGTGGGGGAAGAGAGGGCAACGGCAGCGGACAAGAGGCAGAGGTTCAGGGTCTCGCGCGAACAAATGGACCTAAGTCAAGACGTTCTGTGAAAACCACCGCGTTGGTTTATCTTGATTAGGCGTCTCTTGACGCACGGGCCACCCACTAGTGCAAATCCAACATAAGCCATCGGTGAGAAGTCCAAGATTCCCAGTGCCGACGTGTCTTTCAGAGAAAAATGGTAACCCACATTTCCCCAGACCACATCCCATTTAGGTCACCGCTCTTGAGACCCTTGACACAAACAAAACCCCACGCTAGTATTCTAAAGTCTGAAAGGCAGACACATATTTTGAGATTTTAGGAATTTATACAAAAATAATAAAAAACTACAATGTTTTTACTACCTGAAAATCAGCCATATGATACACAAATTGGACATTTGCTAGTTTCTTGTAGTTTCCCTAAGAAATAACAACCTTGGGCCATGTTTTTAGGAGAAAATTATATTCTTTTAAAGAAAATGAAAATATTCTCAAAGGAAGAACTTAATTTAAGTCAAGTCATAGGCTTTTGTCGTGGGGCCTGATACGCGGCGCTTTCCTGCCACAGGTGGTCTGCCGCCGCGTGGCCAGGGCGCCCCCTCGCGGCGTCTCTCGACCCAGACCCGCTGCTGTTATTCGCGAGGGAAGGTTCCTTCCCCGAGGCTGAGGGATGCGGGGGACAGTCCCAGAAGCCAGGGATGAAGAGACCGGCGGGATTGTGGCCAAATATCAGTGACCATAATGGCCAAGGGCAGAGCCCCCGTGGGGTCCCCACTCCCCAGGAGTGTCCTTCTTCGCCCCCTCGCAAACAAGGCACCCTTCCTGCCCGCCAGCGGGCCAGGCGCTTAGTAGACGCGCCGCGCCCTCCGCCCACACCCTGCCCCGCGGCGCGGGCTTGGAGGGGGTTCCAGGCCCCCTCTGAACAGGGAGGCTGGCTGCCCCTGAGGCCAGTCGGAGGGCGGCGTGCCCCGCGCCCCGCACGTGAGTGGCCGTCCTCAGCCCCGTGACCCACGGTGGCGGCCCTCCCCCGAGGCCGGGGGCGCAGGGGTCCCGGAACACAAGGCCGGGATGGCGGGGCGTGGGAAGCGGCAGAACCCGGAAGGAAGGAAGCGGCCTGAGGAGGCACAGACGGTGAATAAATAGAAGCAGCTTCGCCGCGGGGCCGGCCCCTCGGACAGCAGCTCGGTGGCCAGTGGGGGTGGGATGGGGTGGCAGCCGCACCCACCCTGGCACAATGCTCCGACACTGGCCCGGGTCACCCACAGCGCCCTCTCTCTCCCTTGCACACACACACGCACACACACGGCCCCGGGGTCAGGCTCCCAGCCCCTGCTCAGAGCTCGGTGACGTGCACTGCAGGAGAGGGAAGTGGGCCTGGCCGCAGGCGCCGCAGGTGGCAGCGACGGCACAGCAGGTGGCCCTCCAGGGGGTAGCAGCGGCGTCCATCCTCCCCGCTCAGCTGCAGCCCGCAGTCCTAGGGAAGAACACAGCCCCAACCGGAGAGTAAGCGCGGAGGCGCATATTAGGACATGCCCGTGGGGCAGACCCATAGGGCTCTGTACAACTTCCAGAGCACTTTGGCTTGTACACTTGGGGCAGGCAAGGATCAGGAGTCCTGTGCTGGACACAGCGAATCGGAGGTGCCTCTTAGACATCGAAAGGAGATGGCGAGGAGGAAGCCTGGTGGACACAAGCCTCGAGTCTGGGAGAGGGCAGGGTAGTAACTGAGGGCATCAGCATAAAAATGTGATGGCTTTTAACAAAACCATAGATTACATCCCCAACGAAATGCAGAGAACTAGAAAAAAGGAGAGGACAAACAGCTGAGCCTGGGGCTCCAACATTAAGAAGCAGAAAGAGAGGGACCTGAGCCAAGGAGATCTGAAGGGCAACACATGGGGAAAGCCGAAAATGGGTGGTCCTAAGGGCACAGCGAAGAGAGTCAAGGAGGGAGAGGTCAGTGTGTCGCAAGCTGCTGCGAGGTTAGAACGCGACAGCTAGCTGAAGTGTCTCCCAGATTCCACCACATGGGGGTCGCTGGTGACCTTAGTAAGGCGGGAGGGTTCACATGCCTGACCCCAGTGGCCTTACAGAGATAACAGAAGAGAACAATTGGAGACATCAAGTATACAAGGAGTTTTGCTTTAGTCCCTTGTCTCACCATTTTACCTTTGTGGGACACTTTATAGACTAATTTTCTCTAACAAGTTAGGGGATTCAGATTTGACCTCTGTAAGTAACTGACAGGAAGTATGAAGGGGTGGCATGGAGGTTGTACTGTCAGAGATGGTGCAGCACAAGACAAGACCAGCTGGACAGCTTCTGCCTTCCTGTGCCCTCCACCCCAATGTCATGCCATCATGCATCAGGTGCGGAACTCCTACGTAGAAGAGAGGAGAGACCGCTATATGCCAGTGCTTCCTGAACCCCTACACCTGTGGCCAGTGACTTTTGAACTCCAGCACATCTAGCTGTTACCTGGACATCTCCATTCAGGCATCTCCAGTGACCAAAAATGAGAGCCCCTTATCCTGCCCGCCGCTCGCCCTCACTCTCTTCTGGGGTCCTAATGGACACCTTCCAAACCCTGAACTCCCACGTCCAGTCACTGACCAAATCCAGACCCTTTTACTGCCTACCTATCACTTAACTCACTCACCTCCCCCAGGGCCCAGGACCTCAACCTCGACTCCACCAGACTCCTCAGGAAACCCCAGCCCCCACTCCCTCTTCCCGCATTCACTCTCTGTCCTTTCGGAAATCCACATGCCATTGTGTCATTCCTTTTCCATCATTCTCCATTGCCCTCAGGATAAGTCTGCACTCAGCTTATGTGGCCTTCTGTCCCCAGTTCCTGTCAACTTCAGTGACAAAACACAATACATTCACCTCCGCACCGAAGCACATCCTGCTTCCATTTCTCAGAGATACCCTTCTCACTGCCTCCTTGGCTAACTCTTTCATCTTTCAAATCTTCGCTTGGGCATCACCTCCTCCAGAAAGCCTTCCCTGATTTTCCAACACCTCCTCTATCTGACAACTCCCCTTGATAGCAACAGTGACCCTGAGTCCACACTGCCTGAGTACTTGTCTCTCCCATGGCAACAGGAACTGTCTTTATTCTCTGGGCAGTGCCAGCACTTCTTCATCCTCAGTAGATGTTTAACTGAATGAGAAACAGTACCTAAGAGAGAACATACCCTGGGAGAAAGAAAAGGACTCACTGGGGGAGAATGGGTAGAATGGGACAGAACCATGAAGGGGGAGATAGGCCTACAGGACTCGTGGAGAGGAGGAGACCCAGGTGGAGGGGGACTGCCAGCTGCCAACCTTCCCAGAGGGCCCATGCTCACCTCACAGTGATAGCATTCCACGTGGTAGTCTCTGTCCATGGACACCACACGGATGGTTGTCTCACAGCCCTGGAGGAAGAGATGGGGTTCATGCACAATAAGCAAGCTGGGCTTTGAGGTGAACAGTGTGTGGGGGGGGACACACACCTACGCCGCGTGCTCCTGGCAGGGCAGACATGCCTCCGTGCCCGTGGGAGCACTGCCACCAGTGCTCCCGCGGTGCTGGGACAGGCACTGGCAGGTGCTTGTGAGCCTCAGGCATGCTCCCATGGCTGCAGCAGCGCCGGCCCTGCTTCCTCAGGCACACCAGCTTGGGGCAGAACCAGCATGTGGAGAAGACCCAACGCCTGAGAAGCACACTACCCAAGGACGTCTCCCGCACAGACCGCGTCCTCTTGGCCGCTCCCCCGCCCCGCCCCCTCAGCCTGCAGAGCTAAACAGGCCCAGGGAGCAGTCCTTATGCTGATGGGCAATGGTGCTGAGGGTGGAGGTGGGGCAGCCAAGCAGTAGGGGTCATCATTTCCCTCTCTCTTTCGGGGACATCTGCACCCTTCGTGCATGGGCACCACATGCCCCTCAGCCCTAAGGAGTATGGGGCAGGAGAGGCTTCTCATCCCTCCCATGGGGGCCCAAGGCCTGCAGCAACCTGGCTAAGGCCAGGCATCTGGTCATCTCCAGGCATGTGGTTCCTACCTGTGCAGGGAGGATGGGACGGGCACAGGAGGCACATTTTGGTGCAAAAACCCTGGAGGAATGAAGGAAATGAGAAATGACCAGCTGAGTGATGAGAGGCCAAGTACACTGAGGAGACCCACCCACAGTGGCCCCAAGATGTGGCCCAAGCATGAGGCCCCCTTCCTTGTGTAGATTTTGGGGTGGCAGCTGCCTCTGCTATGCCTTCTTGACACTGGCCTTTTATCTGGCTCCCCAAGTCCCCTACATCCCATCACCTCCTCCAGGATGGCTTCAGGTTCTGCCTGCCCTCTCCTGCATGCTTCCTGCAAGTTCCCTGACCCCTAGTATCCACGTTTGGGCCACCTCTAGCTGAGATCCCTGTGAAACCTGGCTCCATGTTGGGCACCAGGGATCTTTGCCAGATGCCAGCCCCATGAAAGGCAGCCACACAGGACCACAGCTTCAAGGGCTCTGCCTGGAGCCACAGGAAGGGAGACTGGACTGGCTGCTCAATGGGTACTGGACAGGCAGGAAAAACACTCCGCAGAACCCCCTAGCCCCCATCCCGGGCAGAAGAGGCCTGCCCTGTCCTTTGGAGCAGAGGGATAGGTGGTGGGTGGGGCAGCCGGAGAGGCCTCAGCACTAGGAGTAAGGGAGCTGTCAAGTAAAGGCAGAGAGAGGAAAGAGATGGCTGGCTAGTGGCCAAACCACTCAAGGAACAGGGCTCAAGGCAGAGATCTGAGCTTTGCTCCAGCTGCTGGGCAAACAAGGGGAAGCTGGCAGCAAACAGGCCAGGACTGGAGAGCGCAGGTAGGCAGGCCACAAAACGCGTCCAGGGCAAGCAGAAGTAACAGGGAGTCACACTGGTGCCGCAGCGCTGGCTACTCACGTGTGGTAGTCTCTGACACAGTAGATATTGTTCTCCACGTCCACCGTGAAGGGTACCCCATCTAGGCACTCGTTGCACACGGAGCACCGGAAGCAGCCTGGGTGGTAGGACTTGCCAAGGGCCTGCAGGATCTGGGGGTGGGAGGCACTGAACGGTGAGTGCAGGCGGAAGGCTCAGCACAGCCCCTGGAAGAGGCTTTGGCTCTGAAGCCCCAGCAGGTCTGCAACAGGCAAAGGGTGGGGTCCTAAGTCTGCCCACACCGGAGGGACTCCAGGAGGCTGGGGGAGGTTCTCACCATCTCCATGATGAGGTGTCCACACACGCTACACTTGTCAGCCGTTTGCTGGAACCCGGAGTACTGAGAAGGGACACAGAGTCCAGGATGTTATGTGACAAGGGGCACTTGCTGCCCGGCCAGCGCCTGCCTCCTGGCCTCAGGACCCCCCATGATCAGGAGGAGGCCCCAGCCCCCTGCTCGGCATCCCTGGCGCCAGGCAGGGCACAGCTGACTCACCAGGAAGTCCTCCTGGCAGTACACCTTCTCGCCCACATGGTAGAACGCCTTCCCGCGGAGTCGTCTCCCTGCAACAACAAGGGCCGAGCAAGGGTCCCTGGGTCCCTGGACACCAGGGATGGGGACTCTGCTTCCATTTCTCAGCACCCACTTCCAAGAGATGTGAAGTGGATTAAGGATGAATTTTTAAATTTCCCTTTAATGTTGTTAATATTATACTAATATTTTTTAAAATTAAGCAGAACATGCCGTCAACAGAACTATTCTAAGAGGCTATCACAGCAAATACAGGAAGAACTGCTTTTCAAATGCAAATTGATGTTCTGATTTTTTTTAATGCATTTGTTTAAACTGAACTCTGAGCAGACTTTTCTGAATGAATTTTCTTCATCCGTGAACATCAGAAATACAACTTTGACCGGTGAAGGAGCCCCGGCAAAACAGATGTCCTTGTCAAAGCCAGAGCCCCAGCAGCCCTGGCAGCACCTGTTAGAGGCATTCCCGCTGCAGTCGGGGGAAAGATGATGCCTGACAAGGAACAACAGGGAGCCTCCTGAGCTGATGAACGGCATCGATGAAAAACCCTCAGCCGACATCAGACTTAGCTGTGAAACAGTCAGTGCTTTTCCCCTTCGGATTTGACATGGTACTAGAGGTCCTGGGCAATGTGGTAAGACACGTGAGGGGAAAAAACAACAGATTGGAAAGAAATTAATCAAGTTAATCTTTTAATCAAGATACATGATTGTATTGTGTAGAAAATCATAAGAAATCTCTAAAAACTACAAAAACTAAAAATAAGTTTAGCAAGGTTGTGGGAGAGGTGGTCAGCAGATGAAAACCAAATACAATTTTATTTTCTAACAAGAATTGATTGGAAAATGAAGTTAAAAAATATAAAGCTGCATTTATAACAGCATCCCCCCAAATCCATAGAATACTAAAGATGAACTCACTGAAAGACAGATCTCCCTTTATACTGCAAAGCCAAACTCTGCTGAGAGAAATATTTAAAGACCTACATAAATAGAGAGAGGGATTGTTGCTGGGAGACAGTTCTCCACTGGGTCTCTCACATTTCTGCACATCTTACAATTAGAGGCTGGCAGCTTTCATTCTGGACTATCTTCCCAAGGATGCTGGTGGAGCACACGCTTAGAGGAGTTAGCATCTCTGTGTGAAGCAGAGGGCAGGTTTATTTGCTGTTTAGTATAATAATGTGTTCCTCTAAGACAAGGGTCAGATACCTTTGCTGGCAGCCCATTACAAAATACTGGGGTTCCCTAAGCTCATAGTTTGTTGGCTCTGACATACACCCAATGCATGTACAGCAGGCCCCTGGGCCACCCCACTTCACCCCTGTGTGACTCGAGAAGGCTTGCAGAGCCCGTGGGAACATGACGTGCATGCTACTTGCAGTGCTGCTGGTGTCTGCCCCAGGAGGCTCCCGTCTTCAGTCGGCATCCGTGAAATGGTAGGAGGTTAACTTGTCAGCTTGCAACCAAGGGAAAAAAATCTCAGACCTTTCCCAGTTCTTGACAATCATCTTCATGGCTTCAAATGTTCTGACAGCATTTCTCCCTAAACTGATGTACACATTCAATGGCACTTGATCCAGATCCCCACGATCTTATTTTTATGTGAAAACTGTTGTGCCTATAATATGCAATCACAATATAAGCTGAACCCGGGGATGGTAGTGCAGAATGGAGAATGTAGTCAATGATTCTGTAACATCTTACTACTTGACAGATAGTAACCACACTAGAAAAGGTAAGGATTTACTGGTAGCTATTGAACCACTATTTTGTATATTTGCAACCAACATAAGATTATATTATCAATGATACTATAATTGAATAAATAAATGGTATAGTACTATAAAAAAACTGTTGTGCCAATTCTAAAATGTATATACAAATACAAATAAACTAGAAGAGCCAAAATGATCTTGAAAAAGATCAACAAAGCTGGAAGCCTTGCAATACCTATTTTCAGGCGTAAAGTAATAAAAACAGTGTAATACTGGGGTAAGGAGAAACAAAAAGATCAGTAGAATATGAGAGTCTCCAAAAATAGACCCAGAAATATTTCAACAAACACACAAGTGGGAAAGCAAACTAGATATCCACATAGAAAAAAAAAGAAACTCAATTCCTAACTTCATACCACACACAAAAATTAATGTGATATGAGTATATTGATCAAAACATAATGAGACACCCACAGCTTCTAGAAGACACAGGAGACTATCTTCATGACTTAAAGGGGGAAAAAATTTTTAAGTCACAAAAACCATGACCATAAAACAAAAAATAATTGGCAATTGGACTTCATCCAAATTTAAAATTCATCTTAAAAAAGATACCATTTAAAACATATTTAACAACCACACTAAGAGAAAATATTGACTAAGAACACATATAAACAGAATTTATACTCAGAATACATATGTTCACACATATACTCCTACAACTAAATAATAAAAAGACAACACCCAATTCAAAAACCGGGCAAAAGCCCCGACAGGTTTAGCAAAAGAAGATTTAAGTGGCCGAGAAGCAAACAAAAAGATGCTCGACCTTTAGTACAAATTAAAACCACAATGAGATACTACTTCACACCCATTAGAATGGCTAAACTTCTAAGTTTAGATTGATTTAAACCGAAAGAGACTAAATAGCAATTGTTGGCAAATATGTAGAATAACCCAACTCTGTGAGATTTTGAGTGGGAGTATGAAATGGTACAGCCCCTCTGGAAAACCGTTTGGCGGTCTCATGAAGTCAAACATACACTTAGCCTATGACCTAGACATTCCACTCCCTGGAATTTACCCAAGAGAAATGAAAACATTTGCTCACAAATGACCTGTATGAGAATGTTCACAGCACAATCTAATATCCATCAACAGTTCAACAGATCAACAAATTGTGGTATAGTCATACAATAGACTCCCACTCAACAAGAAAAAAGACTGAGCTACTGTTATATACAACAACATGGACTAAAAATCATGCTCAGAAAAAACACCCACAAAATAGTACATCTTATAGGACTTCATTTATATGAAGTTCTAGAACAGACAAAACTAATCTATGGTGTAGAAAGTAGAACACTGTTTGGGCAGATGTGACGGGAAAAATGGGATCAACTGTAAAAGGGCAAGATGGAAGTTTCTGGAGTGTTTAAATTTTTCTGTACCTTTGTTAAGGGTATGAGTTAAATAAATAAATACACTTATCCAAAATCTTTGAACTATATATTTAAGATCTGTTTGCTCTAGTATCTGTAAATGGAACTCAATTTAAAACAGAAACAAAAATAAACCTGAAACATCTTGTACCAGACTAAAGAGTGCTCAAAGAATGATGGGGACACATCAAAAGGACACAGAAGCCAACTTGAAGGGAATTCTCTGGCCAAATTTGAGACAATTTATGCATCAAAAAGACAATCTGTATATCAATTTGAGTCTGTATTGCAATATGCTGCATGAGTAAAAGTCCATGAATATGTAAGAATACACACAAAAGAAAAAAAAATATTGCCCCCCATTCAAGTTTAGAACTTTCCTGCTTAAAAAGTTTTGAAACATTCCCTAGGGAGATGCACCTTCAACACAGACCTCAACAAATTCCCACAAACAGACTCCCATTATCAGAAATTACAAAACACAGAAGGAAACAAGGTATGATCATGATTGAGGAGAAGCAAAAAGCATCAGAAGCAGAATTTCAAAAATTATCAGATATTGGAATTATTAGATACTGAATAGAGAATGGGTATGCTAATAAGCTTACAAAATAAAGAGATGTCCAAAACATGAGACTACAAAGATTTCTTAGGACATTAAAAGCAGTAGGCAAACAGAAGAAGATAAATTGGACTTAATTATTAAGAATCTCTTTTCATCAGAAGACATCATTAAATAATGAAGCAAGAAAAGGTTAGGAAAGGAATTTACAACACATGTCCAACAAAGAACTTTTATCCAAGATGCATGAAGAACTACAAATCAATAAGAAAAAGTCAAACAACCCAATTTAAAAATGGGCAAAGACTTCAACAGGCATTTTATAAACAATGGTATTCAAATGGTCAACAAACAAATGAAAAGGTGAATGAGTCACCACTACTCACCAGGGAAATTCAAATTAAAATAACATTAAGATACCACTCCACCACCAGCCGAATGGCTAAAAAACTGACAATGCAGGGTTGGCAGGCACGAGGTAAAACTGGCACTCTCATATCTTGCCAATGGGACTGTAAATCGGTTTGGCTACTCTGGTAAAGTGTTTCACAGCATAAATTAAAGCTACACAAATGTCCCACCATGATTCAGCAACTCAACTGCTAAAGAGATAAGTATAAATGTCCATCAACAGACAGGTACACAAATATTCATAACTGTTTTACTTATAATCACCTAATTATGGAAACAGTGCAAAAGTCCACACAGAGATGACAGGTAAGGGGCATAAGGGAATCTTCTGGGGTGATGGGAATATTCTACACCTTGGTCTGGGTGGTGATTACATGGGCATGTAGATATGTAAAAATGTATCAAGATGTAATACTTAACAATAGCATGGTTTACACTCTTTATGTATTTTAAATATTGACAAAAAGCAAGAGGCTATCAAAAATGTTGAGGCAGATTTTAAAAAAACTTCTAGGAAAAAAATCCAATCATTGAAATTAAAACTCAATGAAACAGAGTTCAGTAGGAGATTAAACTAGCTGCAGAAAAAATCAGTGATCTGGCTTCCAGCTTCTGGAAGATAGATCTGAAGAAATTAGAATGCAGCAAAGGAAGACAGAGAAACAGATAATATGGAGAGGTTAAGAGACTAACAGAATAGAATGAGAAAGCCTGATATTTCTAACATGAATGCTAGAGGTGAACAACAGAATAATAGGAAAGAAGCAAAATTTTAAAATAAAATAGCTGCCATTTTTCCCCAAATCTGAAATCTTCAGATTCAGGAGTCAAACTGAATCGCAAGCAGGACAAATTAAAAAAGAAAACCCACATCAGAGACAAATGATAATAGAACACTTTAAATTAACTGTACTTTTTTTTCTAATATTGATAGGTCCAAGTATTTTGAATATTCTAGAAATTAACCTTAGAAACTATGTGTGTAGCCATATATGGTTTGTTTTATCATGTGCTTT